GTGCGTCAGAAACTCCAACTTCAATTTCATGATTTACACCCCAATTTAGCTCAATTTCACCAATTAACCAATTTAGACCCTAATTTTAATTTTGCCCATAATTTTGACCCGCCACCACCGGAGACCGCCGATCTTCGGCGTTGACTTTTTATTTTATTTATTTATTTTTTTTGAAAACTTTTTTTTGAGAATTTTTTTCCGGTAGGTCAACCGCCGGGTCTCCGGCGTTGACTTTTTTTATTTTTTAATTTTGTTTTTCTTAAAAAAATATTTTAATTAATATTACTGTCTTGACTGCTAAATTACTGTTTCCAACAGTAATTTAACTGTCTGAGACAGTAATATTACTGTATTAATTAATTTTATCGTTTTGGCCTGCATTTTTGTTGTCTTCGACTGTAATATTACTGTCTCCGACCGTAATATTACTGTCTTATGCAATAGTATTACTGTTTGGGACAGTAATATTAGTAATATTATTGTAACACCCCTTAATTTATATTATGTGGTATAATAATAGTTTATACATGTATATTATTGAAGTTTATTCATTAATGAGAGTAACATAGTAATATAGTGAGAATTCGGTGGCGAAGTGTTATTAATAGATAAATATGGGGTACAAGTATAAATAATGAAACTAGGAACTTACCAGCCAAGGATTGACGTAGGTTTATTTAAAACAGATAATTGAGAAGGGAAATATTGTTTATTTCGAAAATTGAGAGACAGCCGCGTGTCTCGAAAATTGAAAAAAAAATATAGAAAAAAAAAATTATTTTCTGAAAAAAAAAAATCAAAAAATTATTAAAATGGGGGTTAAGATATATTTGTTTAAACTCGGGATCAATGTGTAATATTAGGGAAGTTAGAGCATAATGGATGGAATTGACAAAAAATATATTATGAAGGGTATTTTTGACTAAATATATGGAGATAGGTTTATTAGAAAGACTGTATTTTTTGTGGACCAATGTGCATTTAAGTCCCTTGTCATGTCTTATTTTGCCATTTGCCCAATAATATATTCAGAGGGAGAGAGGAGAGAAAGGGGAGAGCGATAAAGTTACTTGAGACATATATGGAAAAAAAAATATTAGATATCTTTTAATATAAAAATTAAATATACTTTATTTCTTAGTTAGGAGTATAATAGTAATAATTAAGTGTTTTAATTAATAAAAGCTGTTTTGATCAATTTATCTTAAAAATGTAAAATAAAATTGGGCTCATTATAATGACACTTGTGTAATTAAGGACTTTTTTCAAATTTTCCTTTATATAAATGTATCACCTAATTCTGCTGCAGTCCTAATTGCTAACATGTATTGGTTAGACATGAGATACTTACTGTTTCTTCTTTATGTCAAAATTTTGTTCATAGTTCAAGTTCGACCTGGATTTTAAATAGGGAGCCGCTAAAATAAATACCGTTTATTTCTCACTTCAATACCACCAACATAAAAAATAAATAGATAATAACATCATTACCTTTAATGAAACTCAATACCACACACAAAAATAGTGTAGTATTGATTTTATCAAGGGTAATAATGTAGTTACCTATTTATTTTCTATTTTTTATGCTGGTGGTGTTGAAGCGAGAAATAAACGGTATTTGTTTTAGCCGTCCTCTATAAAATATTAGTGCAAATACGGTGCACTAGTATGGTTGGAAAAAAATTGCCAAGCATCACGGTATACCAAAATCGAAGATTACCGAAAAAATACCAAAGTAGCGGTTATCATTTCATTTGGTACGGTATTGGTACCCTACCGCAAATGGCTGGTAAGGTAGTGGTATTGCATTCTCAATACCATGGTAATACCGTATTATAGTATATGTTGTATTTTTTTTTTTAAATCATTATTTTATATACCATAATATTTAGGGTAAATTACAACCACCCCTGAGGTATGGTCAAATTACGAAAACTCCCCTCCTGTTTAGGTAATTATAACCACCCCCTCAACTATAAATCTGCTTACACGTCCACCCTTGTGGTTTCAAATTTAGTGGATTCTTCGAGATTATATGGAATATTATCACTTTTGTACCCGTTTTATCTCATTCGAACTCCAAATTTTGAAGCAAGTTGATCATAATATGTGTGTATTTTGACTTATATATATCAGACTGTGGTGCATCAGAAACTGTATTTTTGCACAAAACGAGTACAAACTAGAGCACATTCCACGAAATCTAGATGATTATGTTGAATTTGACACCATAAGAGCATCTCCGACCGGTTTCACCATTTTTTCACCAAATCCTATTTTTTGTGGTGAAAAAATGGGTTCATCTCCCACCGGTAGCACACCATTTTACCCTTTCACCATTTTTTGTGGAAAAATGGTGTTTTTGGTCTCCATTGGGTTTGACCAAAATTTAGACCAAATATTAAAATAATAATATTTCACCATTTCACCACTTATAGAAAATGGGATTTGGTTTGGTCTCCCATGGTATTTCACCATATATGCCCCAAAATTATAAATCTAATGTTAATCGTAATTTTATTATATTTTATTTCATAAATATTAATTATAGATCCAATGTTAAGTAATAATTTTTTTTAACTACATAATTTAAAATTTATGTTATCAATTTTAAAAATTATGTTTGCAATTTAAATGTCTTGTCCTGTATTTCATCAATTAAAGTGTGTTTCGTTAATCATTTTATTGTTGCTTGTTATATTTTTTTAATAGCAATTAGCGTATTAGTTAAGTAAATAAATGAATGAATCAACACTGATAAAAAAAAAATACAAATTAATTAAAAATAAAAATAAGCATATTTATATTATTAGAATTAATGTTTTTTTTATAATAATAACAAATGTATTTATATTTTAAAATCTAATTTAGTAATTAACACCAATGTATTTACTAGGGGTGGTAAACGAGCCGAGCCGACTCGTAAGCTCGATGAGCCGGCTTGAGAGAAACTCGAACTCGAGTTTTTCGAGCTTGAGCTTTAGCCAGTTTTTAGTTGTTCGTGAGCTCATGAACCTCATTTATTATTATTATTATTATTATTTTTTTTATCTATTATTTTTTATTTAAATAATGTATAATAATATCAAATATTATAGAAATAAATAAAAATAAAATGTATATATATTAAACAATATATATAATTACAACTTATTGTTTATTTTGTAAAAAAATTTGAATAATTTTTAAAAATAATAAAATAATAATTAAAAAATATTAAAAAAACCTACAAAATGAGCTTACGCTCGAGCTCGACGAAATGGCTCGAGCTCGAGCCTAAAAAAAATGTACTCCACGAGCTCGAGCCTGCCAAAAGAAGCGAGATCAGCTCGTGCACACCCGTAATAATTATGATAAATATGCTAGTAAGTTGGTAATCATGTGCAATTAGTTAAACACGTCATTTTATATGCTACTTAACAAAATGGTGTTAATTACACCAAATCCTATTTTCACCTCTATATTTGGTAGGAAAAATAGAATTTGGTGGAAAAAATAGGAAAATGGTGGACCGGTGGAAGATGAAAATTTTTCACCAAAAAATTTGGTGGAAAAATAGGATTTGAGTATATGGTGATTATGGGGGTTGACCACGGTGGGAGGCTAAAACCAAATCTCCATAATTGTAGGTGTAATGGTGATATAGGAATTTCGGGTGGGAGGCTAAAAACACCTAAATTAGATGGAAAAAATGGCGATATAGTGACCGGTCGGAGATGCCCTAAAGGTGGATGTGTAAAAAAAATTATAGTTGAATGATAGATGTAATTATCCAAACAAGAGGGGGTTTTTCATAAATTGTCCACACCTTAGGGGTGATTGTAATTTACCCTAATACTTATAACTTTATCTTAAAAAAATATATTTCTAATACTTTATTTTATTACATGTAAGTTTTCTGATTTAATGGGCAATAAATTTGCTTTATGTGATGTCATAAAATTAATTGTAATATTTAACTCAATAAATATAGGAAAATGTTAAAATAATATAAATTTACGTATTACGAAATTCATTTACAGATAAAATTGACAAGATTTTTTTTTTTTTTTATCAAATTCTCGATTAATAAAAAATAATGATAGAATATTATGCACCACGGTGTGGTACCAAAAGTAAATGTCTACCACTGCCACCCCTACATGTATCCGGTTGTCTTTATACTCCCAATTATGTGAAATTTCTTAATGAATTATTTATTTGACAACAACCAACACTTGCATCGGAGTGAAGAGCCGTAGCATAGTGTCCTACATTATTATAATATTGTTTTATTTTACTATTTTTAAACAATATATAAAGGACAAAGCGAGTCCTAGAAAAGTATTTAACAAAACCAACCATGTCATTTAGTCATTATAGACGACCCGTTAACTCTCAACCTGCAATACACATAAAATTCTAGAGAGAGAAAATAGAGAGAGAGAATGGATGAGAATTTGTTGTTGAAGGAAAGAGAAAGTTTACCAGAGAGATGGAGGGAGATAGCGGGAGAGATGAAGAAGTTGGGTTATTTAGCAGGTCCGATGGTGGCCGTAACTCTATCGCACTATTTGCTGCAAGTAATATCACTTATGATGGTTGGTCATTTAGGTGAACTCTCTCTCTCCAGCACCGCCATTGCCATTTCTCTTGCTGGCGTCTCTGGTTTCAGCCTCCTTGTATGTATATCTATATTTATATATATATCTCCCTCTGTCTCTATAGCTGAAACTTAATTCCTTCTGCTCTGTTTAATTCATTAGTTTTTATACTGCTTCATTTATTTTGCTTAATTAAGACGGTGTTTATACTAATATTGGAATACATTAGCGAAAATTGCCCAAAAATCGGCCTTAACTTCTCTTAAATCATACGATGGTACGTACAGTACAGTAGAATCTCGATAAATTAATAAATATTGCTTAATTAATAGTTTCTTCAGGTGGGACTCGGTGAAAATGTATTAAATTAATAGTTCGCCAAATTAGTAGAATTTTGCTAGTCCCAACTGTATTAATTTTATAGAGGTTTAACTGTATTATGTTAGTGAAAGTGAAACAGATTCACTATTAGTAGTTGCATTGATTAGATTGGCCTCAACCGAAATCGAAATCGAAATCAACCAACTGTTTTTTTGTCTCGGACCACTTCTTGTAAAACAGTTAGGTATGGCCAGCGCGCTGGAGACAATAAGCGGGCAAGCGTTCGGCGCTGAACAGTATGAAAAGATCGGAACACAAACATACACCGCTATATTCTCTCTCGTGATCGTATGTATTCCTCTCTCTATCTTGTGGATATACATGGGAAACGTACTCGAATTCGTCGGCCAAGACCCTCAAATTTCACAAGAAGCTGGAAAATTCACAATGTGGCTCGTTCCTGCTCTGTTTGCTTACGCGACTCTTCAACCGCTGATTAGGTATTATCAGATCCAAAGCTTGATTCTTCCCATGCTGATAAGCTCGTGCTTCACTCTATGTTTCCACGTGCCCGTTTGTTGGGCCCTCGTTTTTAAGTCCGGATTGCACAATCTTGGAGGTGCAGTTGCTATTGGCCTCTCGATGTGGCTAAATGTGACTATATTGACCTTATACATGATTTTTTCACCTTCCTGCGCAAAAACCCGCGCCCCGTTTTCGATGAAGATATTCCAAGGAATAACAGAGTTTTTCCGCTTTGCTGTTCCTTCTGCTGTGATGATTTGGTAATAACTTCTCTATATTTTTTCATCTTGATTTAATTGTGATTGTCTAATGGTTCGTCTGAATTAATGGATATTCGGTGATTGTAGTCTTGAGTGGTGGTCGTTCGAGCTACTTATCTTACTGTCAGGGATTTTACCGAACCCGCAGCTTGAAACCTCGGTGCTGTCTGTGTGGTAAGGTTCTTATTGAGCAACTTACGGAATATTCTGTTAAATAAGTACTACATAAACTATATATACAATGCTGACTCGGTTTGCTTATTTGAAACAGCCTAAACACCATTTCTACGCTTTATGCAATACCATTTGGACTCGGTGCTGCAGCAAGGTATAAATACTTTAATGCCTACAATTCTGCTCCATATATATATTGGCAAAATCACTTATTAGTGGGGTGAATTTTTATTGATGTGCAAAAAGCACGAGAATTTCGAATCAGTTGGGAGCTGGAAAACCGGAGGGGGCTCGTTTATCACTTATTGCTCTAATGCTTCTTGCAGCAATAGACGCAATAGTTATAAGCGCGAGCGTGTTTGCTAGCAGAAACGTATTTGGGTACATTTTCAGCAACGAGAAGGAAGTTGTGGACTATGTTACGATTATGGCTCCCCTCGTTTGTCTATCGATTATAATCGACAGTATCCAAGGGGTCCTTTCAGGTTTCATTTTTTCAAGTTCTTCCCCTCAAATCATCTATTTTCTTTAATAAATAAATTAAATAAAAAAATAAAATAAAAAACAAGAAAATCGTGTTACTTTTGATTTTTAATGTTGTCTTTTTATCGGCAGGTGTTGCGAGGGGTTGTGGGTGGCAGCACATTGGGGCGTACGTGAATCTTGGGGCGTTTTATCTATTCGGAATCCCGATTGCAGCTTCGTTGGGTTTTTGGCTGAATTTAAGAGGAAAAGGTCTATGGATCGGAATATTGTGCGGTGCAACGTTGCAGATGATTATGCTTTCGATTATAACAAGCTGCACAAACTGGGAGAAACAGGTGTTCTGGATTATCCTCTAAATTCCATTATTGACTTATTCCTAAGCAAAATGTATTGATTGTGATAAAATTTCACAATGCAGGCATCTAAGGCAAGGGAGAGGTTGTTTGTGGAGGATGATGCTTCGTTTCGAGATACTTGAAGAGGCTGTTTTTCAAGGGGGGGTCGGAGTTTTTTATTCGTAGCTAATGCTTCATTTGGGCGTATTATACGATGCAGCAGCACAACGAGAATGGACAACGAGGTTGGACTAACTTGACACTATGATACAATAATAGTGTCTTCTCTTCAAATCTGACTATACTTTTAATGTTTCAGTGTGCAAGTATTAGTTGCAGGTAGAACCATTAATTTTGGATTGTGGTCGAGAAATCTAGAATGCAACTTAAGGTTTTACGTAGCGATGCCAGTCGGACCTGAATTCTGGAGTTTCGTCGATTTTGATCTGAATTTTTCGATTTTGGAATACATATTTTTGTTTTAACATTCTTATATATAGATATATATATATATATATATATATATATATATATATTGGAAATTACGATTTCGATCCAATGGTATATATACGGAAATAATTCCGCTAACTCCAAAATAGTAATTTTGTTATATTATATGTATAAAAAGAATATATTACATATTGAAGTGAGACTAATTAGTTTTTATTTAACTCTTTAAAACGTACACACAAATTTATTGTTTTTCGAAATTTCCTAAAAGTTAAATTAAATTCCGAGTATTGTCAATTAAATTTCCGAAAATTGTTCCAATTATGATATTTTTGGAATTTCTGAAATTTTCGAATTGAAATGCACTTTTGAATTCCACTTTTTATTGGAATTGGAACTAAAAGTGTAATTTGATTCATAAACAAAACGGAATTTTTCCGAAAGACTTGTTCATGATCTGACTGATTCGACCTTCAACGCTAGTTTTACGAGAATTCAAGGGCAACTTTTTTAGAGCGTTCACACAAAATTGACAAAAGGAGTAAATATTTTAAATTTTAACTAAAATAATATAAATTAAATCTAATATCTAATATGTTCAATAATGATCATATAATCTACTTAAATTAGAGATTGTGGAAGGTGAGAACTCATGAAATTATTTGAAAAATAGAATCTTGAAATTGATTAAAAAAAAATACTACTTATTAAGGAATGTATCATGCAAGTCTTTTCGTAGTGATTCGATTGGAGACGCGTTGTCAAGTGAAGAGCGATTGATGTAGGAGTATTCATTAGGTAAAATCTTAATAAACGGTAACAAAATTCAGGTAAAAATGAAAATTTGACACCCAAAATTTTTATACCGTTTGCCGAATTGAAATGAATTGTTCTCTTCGGTAATGACCGAATCACCAAAATTTTTATTAAAATACTATTTTTTTTTAAATTTACTTATTTTTAGTTATTTTCATTAATAAATTTTAATATGTAAACAATAAATTGTAGTATAAATATTAATATTATATATATGAATATGTATGAAAATTTATACATGTAATAATAAATAAAAATTTATAAAATATACGAGAAGAGTTCTTAATTTTAAATTGTTCCGAATCTACGGAATTTGAAAATTCTATTTTATAATCACCTAATAATATGAAATTCACAATAACATGCTGATATTACAACTTATAAATGTAACTTTTGGAGAAAAAAATAGAAATTTTAAAATTATTCAATAATTAAAAACCGGATCAAATATTTGAATCTTGTACATATTCCAATTTCAATCCAAAACAATTCGAGAAAAAAAAATTGAAAATTGGAATTTTTGAAATTTAGAACGACTTTCTTATGTGTCGTAAAGTATGAATTTTCCGATCGAACTCTGAAAATTATATTTCACCCCTACACTTATTAAGTGATGTTGAATAAATTAGAATTTCTACAGAAAACGGAAAATGGGATAAAAAATAATAAAAAAAGAAGTCTAAGAAAAAAATAAAATAATCATAATAATAATAAAAAAAAAAAAGAAAGCAGAGTGAACAACGAACAATTGCCACGTGGTGAAATTCCCAGTAATCCCCAGTCGTTTAACCCTTAAAAAATTCAAAACAAACCCCCGACGCCGCAGCATATTCCCTAGCTAACGGTTCCCCCGCGTCAGCATTTAAAGTAAAAAATCACACTTTTTTTCTCTCTCTAGATTATAATCCCCCTTTCTCTCTCAAACCCTAATCACATCAATCACTTCTTCTCTCCTCTGCCATTTCTCCACTCTCTAATCATCATCCCGTCGAAATGGCTTCCCGGAGGCTCCTAGCCTCATTCCTCCGATCATCCGCCGCCCGCCGCACGAGATCGCCATTTTCCTCCGCCCCGAAGCCCAGTCCTCGGCCATCCCCCGCTGGACACTTCCTCCACCGATTCGCCGCCCAGTACGCCACCTCCGCTGCCGCCGCCGCAGCACCTCCGGCCTCCAAGGCGTCTCCAACCGGTGTCACAGGAGGCAAAATTACGGATGAGTTCACCGGTCAGGGCGCGATCGGGAAGGTGTGCCAGGTCATTGGTGCCGTCGTCGACGTGAGGTTCGACGAGGGTTTGCCTCCGATTTTGACGGCGCTGGAGGTTTTGGATAATCAGATCAGGCTTGTTTTGGAGGTCGCTCAGCACTTGGGTGAGAATGTGGTGAGGTGCATTGCTATGGATGGGACTGAAGGGCTTATTAGAGGCCAGCGCGTTCTCAACACGGGCTCTCCCATCACTGTAAGTCTGATGAAAGTCCTTGCCTTTATTTTTTGGTTATTTATATATTTTTTTTTCTGACTCGGATTTTGTGTTCTTGAAATTCGATTTTGGGATGATTCTTGACTGCATTTAAGCAAATGTGTTTGATTTTTTTTCCTTCTTAGATAGATTGGATCTGAAGTCTTAGTTGGATTCATGTGTTTTGGGTTGGTTTTTATGCGGTTGTTTTGATACCTAAATCTCCGGACATTCTGTTCATTTTCCTGGATTTGATTCTGAATTGGGCTTTTTGAATCCTCTGGTTTGGTATGTTAAGACTTCCTTTTTATTTATTCTTTTGAATTTTCGTTTGGAGTTATAGGTTTACCATGCCTGGGATCAAAGCTTATGAATTATTCAAATTTTATTATCAATGTTTTTAACTTATCTATCGAAATCATGTTATATTTGTTTAATAATGGAGTAGTTCTTCTGTCTAATGGTTTTAGCATTTCTAAAATACTTCATTTTGGTTGAGATTTTTAATTGTCAATTTAAGTATGTTGCTTGAGTTTGTTTGACAATTATCAATGAGTTTTCTTCTACTTGAAATACTTTGAATCTACATTCAATCCTCAGTTCTTTTTTATGGTCTCTGTTTCTCTTTGGGCTTAAAGGATCTGGATACTCATCTGATCGTAGGGCATAATTTTCCACAAATCTCTGTTTGTCATGGATGTTAACCTTATAAGGTGTTCTTGTATGTATAGTGGATATCCTTAATGATTTATATGACACGGAGGAGTTTGTTCGTATTTGATAACAATTCTGCTACTCCTTAGGTACCTGTTGGTAGAGCAACACTAGGTCGCATCATTAATGTCATTGGAGAACCTATTGATCATAGAGGCGATCTTAGTAAGTGATGTTGCTTTTTTATCAGAAGCATTCTTCTTGTGAACAAAGATGGGTTGCAGCTTTACTAACGAAGGAATGATGATGCAGATACCGATCACTATTTACCCATTCACCGTGAAGCTCCTGCCTTTGTGGAGCAAGCTACAGAGCAACAAATTCTTGTCACTGGTATCAAGGTATAATACCCCTCGAGTCCAGAATGCCTTGTTGCAACTATTCTCAACTTCTTGACACATTATGGTTACACAGCTTGTCTGTTAAATGCTAGCTTTTGCTTACTCTTTTTGTTTGTTTAAATGTCAGGTTGTTGACCTTCTTGCACCTTACCAAAGAGGAGGAAAGATTGGGCTGTTTGGTGGTGCTGGGGTGGGGAAGACTGTACTTATCATGGAGCTGATTAACAATGTTGCAAAAGCTCATGGTTGGTTTACGTTCAGATGGTTACTTTGTAAAGTTCTAATTGAAATGCTTTGAGATCTAATTGTTGCTTATTTTCCTTTTCAGGTGGTTTCTCTGTCTTTGCCGGTGTAGGAGAACGTACTCGTGAGGGTAATGATTTATATAGAGAAATGATTGAGAGTGGTGTCATCAAGCTAGGTGAAAAGCAGGTCAGCATGTAAAATTTTATATTTGTTTTTATCTAATTTAATATAATTTTTCGCCTTAGATTTTGTCCTTTTACTTGTTAACAGGCTGAAAGCAAATGCGCTCTAGTCTATGGTCAAATGAATGAGCCCCCGGGTGCCCGTGCTCGTGTTGGACTTACTGGATTGACAGTTGCCGAACACTTCCGTGATGCAGAAGGGCAGGATGTGCTTCTCTTCATTGATAACATTTTCCGTTTCACCCAGGTAGGCTTTCGTTTCATTATCACTATCCATTTGACTCTTCTTTTTCTAATTTCATGTAGATGCTTATGTTACCTATGCCTTTTCGATTTTTCCAGGCTAACTCAGAAGTGTCTGCTTTGCTTGGACGTATTCCATCAGCTGTCGGATATCAACCTACACTGGCCACAGATCTTGGAGGTCTACAAGAACGAATTACTACAACCAAGAAGGGTTCTATTACATCTGTCCAAGCTATTTATGTCCCGGCTGATGACTTGACAGATCCTGCTCCTGCAACCACCTTTGCTCACTTGGATGCCACAACTGTGTTATCTCGACAGGTATATATACATATATATATATATATATATATATATACTTTAAAATGGAAGAAACATTGTTGCCAGCTGTGATTTTAATTGTTGGTTTTCTTTGTTTGCAGATTTCGGAGCTTGGTATTTATCCTGCGGTCGACCCTCTGGACTCGACATCTCGTATGCTTTCCCCTCACATCTTGGGAGAGGAGCACTACAACACAGCCCGTGGTGTACAGAAGGTTCTTCAGAACTACAAGAATCTTCAAGATATTATCGCCATTCTGGGAATGGATGAGCTCAGTGAAGATGACAAATTGACTGTTGCACGTGCTCGTAAGATTCAGCGATTTTTGAGTCAGCCTTTCCATGTGGCAGAAGTTTTCACTGGTGCCCCTGGCAAGTATGTTGAATTGAAGGAGAGTATTACCAGCTTTCAGGTAAACATTGAGTGTATTTGAAGCTTATTCAAGATTATGGAATTTTTTACATCATAATTTCTTACTTGAAATTTTGAGCTGTGTTGGTGAGTTAAGTTTGAGATATTCCTTACAAAGGGTCTTCTTGTATTTGATTTGCAACAGGGAGTGTTGGATGGGAAATACGATGACCTTTCAGAACAGTCTTTCTACATGGTTGGAGGTATCGAAGAGGTGATTGCCAAGGCAGAGAAGATTGCCAGAGAATCTGCTGCTTAGGTATAGAGAGATCAAAGTCAGACGATAATTGCGAAAATAATTTAGATAATGGCAAATGCCAAATTCTCCGAGTCTTTATTTTATTTAATTTTGGTTAGACCAAGTTTTACGTTCCTGTTTTTTTATTTGGTGCGCAAAATCGATATAGTTGTGAACCGAGAGGGGCCTATCCCCAAGCCCCAGTTTGTCTTAGCGTGGGACAACACAATAAGAGGGGTTAAAACAGCGGACATTGTAAATGTTTTTGCTTGGAACTTGTTTCCCGAGAGTATTGGAACTTAATATGAAGGCTTTTTCACTTGCGTTTCAACACAAGAGTTGTTTTACTTTTTGTGCATCCTTCATAGTATTGAGTACTTAGAACACCGTTTTGAATTTCATGTGTCGGAGATTTTCCTGAATGAGTTCAAGTTTTTAATTCACAAAAATTAATGCCTCTTATGAATTTGAAAAATTAATCTACGTTCAAGTGTGGGTGTATTTTCGTACTGTGTTAAGTAACCTAGGTTGCAATATTTAATTTGGAATTATTTTTTATATGTATACTTTTGTATACTGGGATTGATTAGGAGTTATTAACAAACTAATGTTCTGTGTTTTATTACTAATTCTTTGGTATACAATATTTGTTTTATTCTAAATTGTTTTTGGTTCTTATGGGATTTTTAGTTCCCAATAGTTTGTATCAGAGACTGCTGATAAATCTATTTAAGATTTAATCCATGTCCAAAAACCTAGAATTGCTTCTACTGTTCATATGTACTTTGTTATCAATGTAGCTAAAATAAGTTCGTTGTAAGCAATAATAGTTGCAGTACTATTGTACAAGTAACCACTGCAGTACAAGAATCATAATAATATGCCATGTCATTCGTCACTTTTTTTGTCGGGAAAAAAAATGTGGTATGATGGTTGAAGAAAGTGTTCCAAAACGATCAAATTTCGGACGACGAAGTGCCATTTACCCATACTAGAATCCATAACTCTTAGTTCAAACTATTTTTCTGGTAATTGTGGTTGAAATACACTTCACTCTGTCATTTGTAATCCCTATCTTAAATCCGAACACTTCGAGCATCCAAATGCAAACTTAATAAACTGAAAAAGAATGCAAAACTAGTCATACAAAACCAGTACCAACTTGGAGAGCCTGATCAAAAAGCCTTAACTTTCATTCGACAAAATACAAGAGTCGCTCAAAACATACACCATAATGAGAACCATAATACCAAATTAAATTCGTACTAATATTACTACTATTATAGTGCAACAAGTGGTTGAATATTAGATCCAAACTCTATGTACTGAAAACTTACACATGCTTCTCTGTTTTAGCCAACATGGATGTTCTGGAGCATATATTTAGCGTTGTGTAAGAGAGCATCAATCTCCTCATTTGCAGAATCAAGTAAGCGAAGTTCCTTAATCTCGTCCTGCCACTTCTCCATCTGTTCCTTATGTATTCTATCACCAAATTATAGTCAGAGTATGTAGCAAAATTTTCATTTCCAGTAATTACGTACCAGTTTTAATTAAACTTACAAGATCATCCTCTCTTCAAATTCATTCGTCAGTTCCTTCAGCATTGACTTTCCTGATTCTAGCAGTTCTGACACCTATACGAAGTAATGATCATAAATATAGCATATTGCGAACAAAATTATCCCCGGAAAGATACATCATGAACAAAGAATATTGGTATTTGAACAAGTTATCTATTTAAATTCGTGAATTCTACTGTTCAGACTTCAGACCAGTATTGACGTTATTTTTACCATTTGAGTGAAATTATTGATCTTCTCGAGGATTAGAGCAATCTCCATTTCCACTTGTTCCGAATTTGAAGCCCTTGGCTCGTTTTCTTCCTCTGGAACATGTTCAATGGATCCATCTTCAACCATGGTCTCCTTATCCTGCATTTGTTAATTATATCTTAGTTATTGCGATAATAGATTCGTGGTTCTGATTACTGTCTGATTTATATTAATGACCAAAGAACATGCACAAGTGCAGAAGACATACAGAAAGTTTAGCGCGTTTTGTCATTCCATGGGCAGCTTCATTATCCATTTTTCCAAATGAAACTCGTAAATACTGGAGGAATGAATAACCAAAAATGATATCATCCTTCAAATATATCCTTATATGCACTAAAGCCGAAATAAACCAAAAACTTCACCGTGTTTTGGTGCAACGGAAACACAAATTTTGTGAGGGCAATTCTAAGGTTCTTGGTTCAGTTATTGGCCATAAAGCAACTAATAAGAAAAAGAATCACTGCTTGTTTCTCTTAATAGAAAGGAATGGTTACTTATTTTTATTTTTTACTCAACACACATGTAGAAAGAAAGAATGATAAACCTATCTAAAAACTGATGTTACAAAAGTAAGGAACGAAACAATACGAAGCAATTAAAAAACCAATACAAGTCAGATTCCATACTTTAACTATCAATATCTGCTTTATAACCAGTCGGCTTAGTTATATGCTGTAAGAGGCTAAGATGCAGTTATTAAATCGATAAACAAAATCGATAAACAACATAGTAATGTATCCAAAGATAGAAATCAGAGATTAAACAGCAGATCACTTGGTTAAAGTACTTCAAATTAGAAAACCAGACAAAAGACTTGATCTACAAAATCATAAAGAAGTAGATTTCTTTCAACACATATAACTAATAATCAGAAACAACAAATATCTGTTGCGACCGTAAAATTCGTTAAGGAATTTTACGAGCTTGCTCAGCATTTAATCACATACAACTAACTACTAATCAGGGTATAGTATAACAAGTTAATTACTGAAATTGAGAAGAAAATATATACTATGATATTCAATCACACACTCCCCAGCAACAATCGAACTATATACAGATGAAACCAGCTGAATAATAAAAATACCGAGAAACGCACGAATTACATGATACCCAGGAATCATATATCAGTTATCAAATAAACATAAAATGAAAAAAAAAAAAAATCAGATTAGGTTATTTACCTCCTTGTGATGAAATTCAGCGGATACAGGAACCAGAAAATGAATCCGGCTATCAGTTTTCCTCTTCCTGAGCAGTTGAACGACGAATTCAGCAATTGATGAAGTGAAATACAAAATCAGCAAAAAGTTCAATTACATTCCGAAACTACTCTCAGATTATAAATTCACCTTATCAATACATATTTCGACTAACCCAGACGATTATCAGTAATGAAATCAGTTCGGCGTTAAACTGTAAATTTGGAAATCGAGATTACCAGATCAATCAGCAGCACACTGCGTCACAAAATCAGAATGTGCGCGTACGTGCTTGAGAGAGAGAGAGAGAGAGAGAGGGAGAGAGAGATGGCGAAAGTGGGTTTGGAAAATGGCGCCGATTCTCCAATTTTGTAGAAAACGTTTAAAGTACCTTTTTAGCCCCCATATTCTTAAAACATTGCACATCTGCCCCCACGATTTAAATTTACTCTTTATAAAACGCCACAACTTTTATGTTTATTATAAAGAGTAAATTACATCCAAGCCCTCAGGTATGGTTTAATTATGAAAAATCCCCTCACGTTTAGGTAATTACAACAACCGCTGAACTATGAATTTTCCTACACGTCCACCCTAATCAAAGTTCTAGTTCAATCAATATATAATAAGGTTAAATGAATTGCTGAATTACAACACGTCCACCCTTTTCAGTACATAATATTTTTGGAGAAGAAAACCTCTCTATAAATATCCTTACACGTGCGAAAGCCAAAAGTTTCACTGTGGTTTTTGATGTTCGGATGTTATTGTATTCTACATTAGCACACAACGGAATCTCGTAAAAAAATCGTGAGAGCAATTCTAAGGTACTTGGTTCAGTTTTTGGCCTAACAGCAACTAATAAGAAAATGAATTACTGCTTATCTCTCTTAATCGAAACGAATGGCTACTTATTTTCACTCAAAGCACATGAAGAAACACAAACGGATATACATTACTAAATAAACTACTCGATATCTCAAAAAATGACGGTACAGATAAAATGGAAAGAAATAACAAAAAGCAGTTAGCGAAGCAACAAAAGTCGGATTCTATACTTGGCACATCTTAAACTATCAATAAGGAAGTCTACGCATCAACAAGTGATATGCAAGTATCAAATCGACAAACAAATCACATAGTCAAGCTGATAAACTGTAAACGGGACAAAAGAATTTTAATCTACCAGATCAAAAGAATAACTAATAATCAGAAACAATAAGATTTCTGTTGCAAAGGCAAAATTCGTTTAGGAACGAAGATCGTTATCAGCTTGTTCATCATTTAATCACATACAACTAATAATCAGGGAATAATAGATCAATTACCGAAATCGAGGGCAGAAGTTAATAGCTTTTGGTGAAATGTATCATTTAGTATTAATATCTCCAACATACCATGTTGAATGACCACCTCAACCAAAAGCTTAAGCTATTAGTGAAATGTATCATTTAGTATTAATATCTCCAACACGCCCCCTCAAGTGCAGGCGAATTACATTTAAAGCCTTGCACTTGAAATATTTGAATTGGGTGGCGGTGGGATTCGAACTCAGGACCTTTCATTTGGCCTGGCTCTGATACCAAGTTGAATGACCACCTCAACCAAAAGCTTAAGCTATTAGTGAAATGTATCATTTAGTATTAATATCTCCAACAATATTCGTAGCCAGTCATAAAGCTCTTTTGACTAGTTTCATATACCGGACAGTTCTATGTAGTATACTTTTGATATTGGACTTCCCCTTTTAAGTTTTGCTTACAGTTAGCTCCATACCAAAGACGTTTGGAATGCCCTTTAATAAACGATTTTGTATTTCCTTTTTCTTCTCAATTTTATCTATGCATGTAGCCAAACACCCACAATCCATCATTCTAATATATAATTATAGTTCCTAAACATGTCCGAATCTTTCCAGAATTACGACAAAAAGTCGAAAAAAATGTTAGTGCTCAACATTTATCCCTTTTCGGGCCATCGTAGCTCCGCCCATCTACATTGCTACCATTTTACCTCTCTACCTCATGTCTGAAAAAATGGTCGATGATAGTCAACAACCATTGGTTGAATTGCTAGGTTGTTGTCACCACCAAAATCATTAGCTCTTTGTCACTGCAATCAAGAATAATGAGATTCTGAAGGAACGTCTTGATACTGTAGAAGAAAAGTGTGGAGCTACATATCTAGATTTGTTGGTACCTCAATACCTAGCTGCACGTGAAGACTGAATGTGTAGGTAATGAGCGACGAAGACGTGCGTTTGATATTGAAGATACACAGCGTCGACATCATTGTTCCTCAAGAAGGCGATATTCATTGCCATCGAAACAACCTCGACATAATCAGGTAATTCTTCACTTCCTCGTAAGTATGTAAACGAAATACATATAGCGTTGTTTGTGGTCAATCCTTAGGTGTTAATGAGCATGAGAAGCATACCCATCCCTAGCATTTCGTGCGTCCACATCCTTGTTATTGTATACTTATGTACCATATATCGTACGGACTGTGCTCGTACACCGTATGCACACCTTTAACTTTAGTATGGGAAGTCCGCAATCTATAGTATATGGATGTAACTCTTATCGTATGTATATGTTATTTGCACCATTTGGATATACGACTTCAATTGTGTATACATAGCATAACTTTACTGTCGCTCATACACTGTAATGATCCAATTTTTTAAATTATTGTTTGCCTTCTCTTTGTTTAAATCGAAATAATGAAGTAGGGGAGCATGTAAAATCCAATATTTATCGGTCCAAAACTCAGTTGATGTATAGAGAGCCTATATTCATGGAAAATTGGTTCCGTAAGTTCGTCAGTTAAGGCAGTAATGGACACACACTTGATTTAGTTAATTAGTAGTAACGAAAATGATTAAAAGTGATAAATATTTGAAATATGAGAGACCAAATGTATCTTTTGTGAGTATGGAAACCAAATGTGAACTTGCTACAAAAATCCTCATGTATTCATAATACCCCCTCCGACTAACTGTTGAACAAAATTAATAACAAAAACTCCCGAGGTATGATCAAATTATAAAAAATCCGTCAAATATTCATAATTACTAAAACCAAATATGGAGGAATTTTTGTAATTAAATCTTACCTTAGAGGGGTTCTCGTAATTTACCCTTTATTTTTTTTTCAAATTAACAGAATGGTGAAACGGACAAAACAAATTTTCTTTTGTAAAACACTGGTTAGATGGGAATTTCGTAATTAGATTTTAGCTCAAGGGTTTTTCGTAATTTGCCGAAAAAATAATTACCAGTTCGATCAAAAAGTTCTAATTTTGGAACAAATTTTGTCATTTAAAATTACAAAAATTTGATCTCCAATTTTTCTGATTTTTGAATCAAAATTAGAATTAGTTATTCACTTCTTAAAAAAAAAAAAAAAGGGAAGTCCTAAACATATATCTTAACATAACGGATGACTATATATATATATATATATTAACATTTAAAACAACTTCCCAACAAACAAGACTTCTTATCAAGAACAGCCATAACCCCTAACCGAGAGAGAGAGAGAGAGAGAGAGAGAGAGAGAGAGAGAGAGAGAGAGAGAGAGAGAGAGAGAGAGAGAGAGAGAGAGAAATCTGCAACGCCTGAAAATTTCATTAGGATCTATAGATCAGAGGCTGACAAATAAAATCTTTTGTAGTAATTCATTCATACGCAACATGAAAAGGGCAAAAGGAGAAGAAGAGGGTTCCAAATCCACAGACATAATATCGAGTTTGCCACAAGAAATCTTGGAGAGAATACTGTATTTCCTCCCCCAAGAAGATGCTGTCCGAACCTCCGTCTTCTCAAAATCATGGCGCCACGTTTGGTGCACTCGTCCCAATCTTGTTTTTTCCGACCAAACCTTCAAAGGCAAGAAACAATATTTTTTATTAACTGTGGACAAGACCATACATCGTTATCGTGATCAAAGGTTGTGCGTCGAGGAATTCGACCTTTGTATATTGGTAGACGGTTCGGAAGATCACGAATCGGTTACGTTTCTTGAAAATTGGATCCCGTTGCTGAAAAATATGGGCATGAAGAAGTTTGTTCTCTCTATTCGTGCGAGACATAGTCGGGATTTTACCGATATGCCCTCCGAAGTCTTTGGAGCCGAATCCCTCCAATATTTGCACGTGGCAAAATTCGTGATGCACCAAAAGTGTATTGAAAGGTTAGTACTCTTGAAGCATCTTGACCAACTTCATCTCCAGAAAGTATACATCGAGGACGCGGTTTTTCAGAGGATAATCTCGAGTTGCCCTTCGATCGAAACGATTACGATGGAAGGATGCGAAGGGTTAAAGAAAATTAAGTTGAATGACCTTCCCAATCTTATCAACTTTAATTTTTATGTGCACGGAAATGGGTCGGCGGTGGAACCTTGTCGCATCGAAATCCATGCACCATCCATAGAAACCATCGATATTACCTACGGCAATATTTGGTTCCGCAAAGGAGCGGAGTTTCGTAACCTCATAAACTTACATCTGAGGGGTGTCGACTCGTCATTGGAACACATGTCTTCGTGTAAATTCCCGATCCTCATCTGGTTGAGTCTTTCGCATTGTGGAGGATTGAGAGATATCCAGCTATGCATCGATGCCCCGAGCTTAGTACTTTTTGAATATCAAGGATTCTTTATCCCTTCGATCTCTTTCGGAAAAACTACTTCCAGTTGGCGTTCAGAATTAAACATAAAATATATGCAGATAAACGATGGTTATCTGTGGTTCCTCAAGCTAAATGAACTGCTCAACTCAGTAAGCAAATCCAGAATTATCCTTTCTGTTGATCAGTATTTGATGAATCACGACGAAATAATTCGAGGAAACGTTAATATGGTACAATACATGAATGGTTGTGGTACAGCTGTTGTGGTGGATAGATTGAGTTTGAATGCTTCTTTATCAGCCGGTTCGAGTAATTTAAACGGTCTGCTTCGTATTTGTCGTCCGAGAATTCTAATGCATTTGGATATGGAAGTTGTCGAGTGGTTGTGGAAGGTTCTAATGGAGAGAGAGAGTGGAGACGAAAGTGATTGGTTCAGACAGTTGTGGTTGCGAGATTTGGAGCAAGCGAGCTTGGAAATTAAGGAGACCGGTCGAGAGGAATGGCGTTCGGCAACTCTGTCCGAATTGCGGAAGTGTCGAGAAACGAAATCTTATCATACTCGATTTGCATTGAAATGGAGACAAGCTTTGTGAGTCTTTGATCATGGTTTTGTAGTTTTTAAGGAATCTCCACTCTCTCCATTAAAATATGTTAGATTCAAATTTAGTTTTTGGAATAGGAACTGAAGTTTATTTTTATTATTAGTATTTTTTTTTCTTTTTTTGAAATAAGTTAGAACTTCTCCAGAGGAGCTGAAAGTTATGCGGATATTGATTTATGTCATTAATTTCTTTTCAATTTAATTTCGACAAGCACGATTGCGATCGACCATTCTGGTCGGCCCCTAGGTCTTTTTTTCCTCTTTTAATTTCTCGAGAAGGTCTCGCCACTTCTGCCGTCGACGCTGCCTCCGTCCCGGGATCCGACGCGGACGATGTCAAGGTTTCTGATGCATTAAACAATTTATTTTATGGATTTGCTTCTTTCTTTCTTTGCTTCAAATTTCAATTCGGTTTTTTACCAATCTAGAATTTCTCCTCCTCCCGAGGAAGCAAAAAATGGTCCTTCATTTTGCAGGCATCAAATAGGTTTTAATGGTATAATTGTGAAATTGAAACGCAGACTCACTTGTGTATTTGTGTCTATCAATATAATGTTTGTATCAGAAACAGAAACAGCCTTTTTTTTTTTTTTTTTAAATAATCCTTACTCATTGGATTCTGATCACAAGACTCACCCATTGCTACTATTATCCCATGGTGACTATCTATATACAATACCAAACTTTTTACAGCATCTCGAAAAACAAAGCCCTCGTCGACGCAAAAATCGCCGAGTTCCGTACCAAGAAAGCTATATCCACTTCGCACCCGTCATGCATGGCTAGCGCTGATTCGTCTCGGAAAATCGTCTATAACTTTCTCTCTCTTGAACACCGCCACAAAGCAAGTGATCCATCTCCCCCGAATAAAACAAAAACCCGAACCCAACTACACCGATATCCACTACACGTGCACTTTTTCCGAACCCCCGACAAACCCTAACTGCCGTGTTTTGTTCACGGCCCTCTTCGACCCCCGCCATTCACTTCTGCCGAATCGGCGACGAGAAATTCATCTCGAGGCCGAACAAGTACGGAGACGATGACGACGACGACACGTTGACATCGCCCGTGTATTGTAAAGGAAAAATCTACGCATGGATGAGTCGTAGTAGTACTTTCGTACAAGTCGACTTTATCGGGGGTGAGATTACTATTGCCAACAAGTTGGTTCGTATTCCGAATCCAAAACCATCTTTCCTACGGCTATACATGGAGCATGTAGTTGAATCGGACGGTGAGATATTGATGGTGCACGCGTATTGCTCGCACGAACACAACGGCGATTATGCTATTTTATTATACTCAATATCGATCCACTGAAAGGGGAGTGGTCGGAGTTGAAGAGCATAGGCAATCGAACAATTTTTCTCGATCCATATAAGAGCAAGTCGTTTCTGTGCAATACAACAGCAGATGATGATGATTCGGTTAAGAAGAACTCGATATATTTCTTCGGGGCCGACAAAATTCTATACGTGTACGACATTGACGATCGGAGCAAAACGATCCTTAAATGATGCCGACGATTGAGAGGAACTCTCCGTGGCGGCTATCTTGGGTTTTAATGTAACCTTTGCTTGCCTTGCTAGCCAAACTACATTTACTATTATTACATACTTCTTGAGTTATTGATCATGTCTTAGAAATCCATTTTAATTTATACTTGTGTAATAGTTAGTGATGTTATATATTTCTTTATCAACAATTAATTGATTTTTTTTTTTTGTTAAATTTTGTGATAATAAAAATATAGGGTAAATTACGGCCAACCCCAAGGTATGGTTAAATTAAAAAAAGACCCTCATGTTTGGTTTATTACAACTATGAACAGATTTAGTGGAATCTTCTAGATTATGTGGAATATTCTCCAATTTATATGCGTAACATGTGTCTATTGGCTTGTGAATTTTTGCACAAAACGAGTACAAAATAGAGAATATTCCGTAAAATCTAGAAAATTATGTTGAATTTGACATCATAAGGATGGAGAGCTAATAGCACGGACCCCCCCTGTGTTATTTGTAATTGTTGAAAAAGTCCTTATGTTTTAAAAATTAACAAAAACCCCCCTATGTTTTATTTTATAAAACACACAGCCCCTTATTTAAAAATTAATTGTTGACTTACGTGCAATGACTCAAATTTCCCTACTTATTTTTACTAATATTTTAATTTTGATCAAACAAAATAAAAGAAAATATAAATTAATATATAAAAAAGAAAAAAGAAAAAAGAAAAAAAAAACAAAGGGATTCTATCTTCTTCCCGTCACCCCTCATCTCAACCCACCATTTTACTCATCTTCTTACAACAAATTCTGCCAAAAAATAACACCAGACACACAAAATCGAAAAAAATCGACCAAATTCTTCCTTAAAGAAACAACACCAGTGAGCTTTGGCCAAATTCGGTCAAATTCTTCCTTAAAAAAAAATTCGGCCAAATTCATATTCTTCATAGCTCACGCCGCTGCCCCAAGAGTCTCTTCTCCATCAACAGTGAGCTTTAGGTTATCGAGAATGGTGAATTCCAAGTTTTGGGTTGTCGAGAATGGTGAAGTTGAGGTCAAAATCGAAGTTTTTTCTTCCAATCTTTTACATGGAAAAAATGACTAAAAGGCTATGTATTCTTCCCTTTTTATTTTTCTGGATTTGCAACAAAAATGACGTTGAGGATATGGGTTCAGTTGATGGTTTTTTTTGGAAAAATATTCTAAAAAGTGGGTCGGAAAGATGGCCTTTCTGAAAATAGGAAGGATTGAATTGAAAATTTTAAAAAGTTCATTTTGGTGCAGAACATTTTGGGATAAATCTGTAATTATAAAAACTTCTAATATAAAGGGTATTTAGGTTATTTCAGGTTCGAAAACGCACCCCAGACGCACGTACGGCGAGTGTGGCGCACGATAACCTGTCAGGGGCCTTTTTGGCTTTGAATAACTTTCATAGGGGGTTCCTTGCTAATTTTTTGAACATAGGGGCGTTTTCAGCAATTAGAGATTTTACAGGGGTAGTTTTTGCAAAAGACCCTAAGAATGGATGTATAAGAAAACTCATACTTGATGAAGTGGTTGTAATTACTCAAGCAAGAGAATTTTTTTCGTAATTTAACCATACCTCATGGAGTGAGCGTAATTTACCCTAAATATATATTGGATTTAGGTTGATCTG